GCTGGCCTGCCTCTGTCGCTTGCCACGCGAAGGAGTATCAGAGCTCATTCGATCGCATCAAGAGCTTCGTTCTTCAGCATCCCTCATCCCAGTGGTCGATGGAGGTGATTGCTCTTGGCGAGGCGCAGCTGGAGGGTCTTAAGGCGACCCTGGCCGAGGCGGGCGCGCGGCATCGAGCCAGGTCCAAGGCGGAGTGGCGTTCTTGGTTGACCGCTGGCGTGGACAAGGGCGCCAAAAGGGTCCACATCATCACTAAAGACCCTACGCCCTGGAGGCCGACGACGACGTTGGCGGCGGACGGTTCGGCGGTGGCTGACCCGCTGTCTTTCCTCGCGAAAGAAGGTGACAAGTTCAGCAGTTTCTGGGGCCTGGCCCCTGGGGAGGCCAAATGTGTGACGCTTGCTCAAGCGTTTCCGAGGGCGACTCCTGATCAGCTTCGAGCCGTGTCCAAGCGTTACAAGGCGGGCTCGGCCGTCACTTATGACGGATTTGACTGCAGGCATTTCCACCTGCTTTGCGACGACGGTCTCACTGCTGTGGCTATGCTTTTCGAGTTGATGGAGTCGGTTGGAGTGCTGCCTAGACAGGTCTCTGCCGTCTTGATCGCCCTCCTCAGCAAGTCGACTGGCGGCTTCAGGCCGATAGGGTTTTTTTGCTCCTGGCACAGGGTGTGGGGACGCCTCAGGCGGCCACGCGCCCTGGACTGGGAGCGGCAACACCCCCGTCGGTACTGGGCCGCAGGGGCTTTCAGAGGAGCGTCAGATGTGGTGTGGCGCCAGTCTGTTCGAGCTGAGCCATGCACTGCCAGGAAACAGTGCAGCGCTTGTGTGTTTTATGACATGCTCAAATATTATGAAAAGATCAACTTGGAGATGCTAGAAGGTCGATGTCGTCGTCATAACTTTCCTGAAATCATCACTAGGTTGTCGATCCATGCCTACAGGTGCGACCGTTTCATCTCTGTTGCTGGCGTGCTGGACGGTCCCTTTTTCGTGATCAACGGGGTTGTTGCTGGATGCAGCTTTGCGACGTCGCACATTCGAGTTTTTGCGATGGATGCGTTTGCCCAGCTCCCTCGACACAAACATTTAGAGTTCGATGCGTACATCGATGATACGGGAGTTTCGAGTACGGGCAGTCATAAGCAAGTTGTCCAACATATCGCGTCGACCTCTATCATGTTGCATCACGTCATCACCAATGATATGGGTTGCCAGCTTTCTCTTGATAAGGTTTGCACGGTGGCCTCCAGCAAGAAGTTGGCTAACGACATTGCCATAGCCCTTGGCCAGTTAGGGGGCAGTGTGCGAGATTACACTGTCAACCTTGGCGTTGACTTTTGCGCGCGCCGATCGGCCCGAGCTTCGGGCAGGGATTCTAAGATGAAAGCCAGAGCTGCTCTCATGCGTCGCAAAGCTAGGCGTCTCAAGAAGCAGTCGGAGCATGTGGGTAGGGCGGCCCTCGGGATTTTCGTTGCTGGCCCCCTCGCTGGCGGGGCCTATGGGGCGGAGATCTTGGGGGCCAGCGACCAACAGCTTCTCGTGATGAGACGCCGAGCTTTCTCGACCGTGCGCCCTTTCGCCAAGAGCCGCTCTCTCACGGCTGTCAGCATTCTTTCGGAGGACCCCTGTTGGAGAGCGGCCACTGCCCCGATACTTCGATGGAGTAAAGAGGTTTGGATCACTCACATGAGGATTTTTGATGGCTCTCTCTCTCCTTTGAAGACCTTCGGGCTGCGTGGAATGCCGTTTTCTCGCTGGACAGGGCCACGTGGCCCACGGTCAAGGCGCCGCTCTCTGCTCTCAGGCGTTCTTTGCTCCGTCTTGGATGGAGGATGACCAACTTCATGACTGTGGTTGACGACAGGGGTCATCAGGTTTCCCTGGGCCTTACCTCCCCCAAGTTGCTTGAAACGCTTTGCAAGGGAGCCTATCTGAGAAGTCTGGAGCGGGACCTGGGTGGCAAGTGGGGGATTGGGAAGCGTTTGTGTTTAGACATCCCCAAATCTGCCTGCTCATCTAAGAAGTTTACCCCTGCCCAGCAAGGTTGGATTCGTGCTTGCACCAGCTGCGCCATATGGACAGCTGATCGTGCCCTCAGCGCGGGGCACCACGTGGACCCATTATGCCCCAGGTGTAGGGTCGCCCCCGACTCCATCGCCCACAGGCTGTGGAGCTGCCCTGACGAGGAGGTCTCTGAGTTGAGAGCTCAGTTGGTCCCCGCCTCTGTTGCTGCCGACGCCCTAGCGTCCCTGTCAACTGAGGCCAACAATGAGGTTATATGCCTTTACACTCGAGGGGTTTTCGCCCACCCCGCCGACTGGCTCCCCAGGCCAGCTTAGGAGGGTACGAACTCCCTTCAGTACATTTGGCATTGCAAAGGGCTCATCAGCCTTGAGGGCCCCAGGGCCCCCGCCAATGGAGAAATGTGGGGACACCTCTTCATTGACGGTTCCTGCCAGCGCCACCCCATTAGAGAGCTCTCGAGGGCCTCTTGGGCTGTCTCAATGAATTCGGAAGATGGGGAGTGCCTTGGAGAGGTTCGTGGCCCTGTCTGGGCCCACTACCCGCAGACCCCACAAGCCGCTGAATTCTCAGCTAGGTGTGTAGTTGCCCAATTTATGATTTTTCCTTCGGTCCTCTACTCGGATTGCGCTAATGTTGTGCACCAGAGTGGGCTCCCCGAGATGGAAAGATACTCGGGGAAGCGCACCTATTCGGGCATGATGCTGCAGGCCAACTCCTCTGAAGGTCAGCTTGTAGAGGACATTGTGAAGGTCAAGGCCCACCTCAATCTGGAAGAGGAGGGCCTGTCTGCTCGTGAGAGGTTCCTTCGCAAAGGGAACTCTGATGCTGACTTTGGGGCCAAGCATGGCCTTTTGCTCCACCCGTCTGCCCCTGCGGAGATGGAGGAAGTGACTCGTCTGGTGGATGCCGCCCGTGCGCACTGCATTCTCGCTGCCAACCTTCTGCCGCTATGGCCGAAGTTGTCCCTAGATGTGCCGTGCACCCCACCTGATCTCGCTCCCTCTTCGTGCCCCCCCCCCCCCTGTGCCTCACCAGTGGGAGCGCTGGAGCGGCATTTGGAGGTGTGCTGTCTGTCTTCTGGGTCGAAGAGGGGCAAGGAGTTGCCCGCCTCCAGGACGATGTGTTGCGTTTTCCAAATTGCATGCGGCTAAGCAGCAAGCGTTGGATCACCGCACGGTGGGTTTCAATTGCCCCGACGGCTCAGCATTGTTCATCTGCCTGAGATGCAAGTGCTACTCCTCGGGGGCCTCGGTCAGAGGCCTTGGCGGAATATGTGCACCCCCGCCGTCGCGTGCTGCTGGATATGGTTGGCGATATCTGCTTCGCGGTGACCACCCTCACTACCCCAAGCGGAAAGAACGAGTCACAGTTGACCTAGACAACTGTATGGCTTGTTTTGATCCATATGTATTTGAGGGCGTCGACAGACCGTCCGAAGTTGGAGGGGGCTCGGGGGGTGTGATTGACGGGGGGGAAGAGGAGTGCGTGCAACGTCCTTGCGATGGCAAGGACCTTCCTTCTGCTGCAGCGAGCTCATCCCAGCGAGAGGGCTCAGTATGTGGGCGGAGTAGGCTAGGGGCCGAAGAAGCTGCAGCTCCGCAGCCTCCCTCTCAGGGACCACTCCTCACGCCTTCCTTCCTGGCGAGACGCCGCCAGGACGAGTCGGACAGCTCGGATTGATTCTGTGGTGCTGGCCGCCTTTCGACTTTGTTTCTTGCACGGCCCGATGCGTCTGACCCCTTTGGCAGGCATCCGTGCTTAACCCCACATCTGGGGCGAGTCATTCGGTCGTCCTGGCGCTGGCTGCACCAGGGGCTGGGGGCTCGTCGTCCTTTTGTGGGTGGTCGAGTTTTCCCTGTGGCGAGGGTTAGCCTTCTTTATCTTCTGTACGGCCCGATGCGACTGACCCTTTTGGCAGGCATCCGTGCGTCACCCCACATCTGGTTCGAGTCCGTCGGTCGCCCTGGCGCTGGCTGCACCAGGGGCTGTGGGCTCGTCGTCCGTGCGTGGGCGGTCGAGCTTTCTTTGCTAAGTTTTCTCGCATCGTGGACGTAAGCGTGCACGAGCGTCAGGCACCCCATTTCTGGGGGAAGGAGCGCGCACATCTTGGGTGCACCTTTTCTTGGCCCGAGCACGGAGATGACTCCATCCTGACCGTGGCTCGGCGGATGTTGCTGTGGCCTTGAGCGTAGGTTCAGGGCCCCATCATCCTCCTTTTGGCGTGGGGTGCGCGTCTCGTGCGTGTGTGAGTGGCGCGTCCCACGGCCTTTGCCCTCCTCATCTCGGTGCCATCGTGGCCCTTGTGGGAGGGCGCTGTCTTGCCTTTTGTCCTCCTGTACAGGCGAGGGCAGTCGGCTTGAGGTAGCGTCCAGTTGCAGTCTCCCTGCAGCTGGCCCCTTTTTTTACCTGCGCTCGCAGCTCGGGGTCACTTGGTCACGTGTGCCTGCCCCCTCTCTTAGAGATGTTGTGGCAGGTGCACGTTGTGCTTGGGCACTTGCGTGCGGCCTCGGCCCCGAGCTGTCTCTTCGGCGCTGACGGGCAGTGGTTTTCAGGCGACGGTGCTTTGCTTTGGCGCTGTTGCCTGCCCCTGTCTCACAGCTTGTAGGTCCCGCCCTGCTAGCTGGTTGCACTTTGCGGTGGACCTGTAGAGGTCACAAAAATACGATTACTACTACTACTACTACTACTACTACTACTACTACTACTACTACTACTACTACTACTATTACTTTTACTACTACTACAACTACTACTACAACTACTACAACTACTACAACTACTACAACAACTACTACTACTACTACTGCTACTATTTCGTAGCCATTTTGGCTCAAGGCCATGCATTCCCAGCGGGTGCAAGTCACGGAGTGGCGCTGCGAGCACTCTGGGGGAGTGCTGGCGGAGCCAAAATCCACTTCAACGATTCAGTGCGATCAAGTCTGCTGCCCCAGTCCTCGCGCGCTATGGCCAGCCATGGGCGCGGCGGACCCGAGGGAGCAGGTGTTGTGCTCCGCGGGCCCAAGTCACCACTGTGGCTGTGCTCCGGCGGCTGCGCATCCAACTGGGCCAGCAGGCTCAAGTGCAGAGAGTGCGACAGGCGGTGCTCCACCAAGGTCGAGGACGCCGCCAGGAAGGCTCACAAGGAGGCGCTCAAGGGCGGGCCCAAGCCGGGCATCCACCAGCAGCCCAGAGGCGCCTGGGCGCGGCAGAAGCTGGCCCCGTGGGAGCACGACAAGCTCCAGCGCCAGGACAGCGAGCTGGCCGCCCTTCGGCATCAGGTCGAGGCGCTCAAGGCCGACAGCGCCAAGGCCAAGCTCACCGCCCTCAGGGACCTCAAAGAGGAGCTCCAGAAGCTGGGGGGAGGCGAGCAGGCCACGAGCTGCGTCGAGGCCGTGGAGGCCAAGTACTCCGAGCCGCCCAAGCCCAAGAGCCTGCCAGCCTTGGAGGGGCAGCGCAGGAAGCTCGAGGGCCAGCACCAGAAGGCATTCGCCAAGGTTGCAGAGCTCGAGGACCAGCGTGTCAAGCTCGACCAGCGGATCTGCGAGGCCAAAGACTCGGTCGCCGAGTTCAAGTGCAAGCTGCAGGCGGCGGACGCTGAGATCGAGTCCCGCCATGCCGCTGGAGTCCTCGGCGATGGGCTCAGGGGCGTGGCTAAGGTCCTCGAGCAGTTCAAGGCTACGGCGGTGGGGAACCAGGCTGTGCTGCACGGCCTCATCCAGTTGCAGGACGTCGTCAAGAAGGAGCAGGAGACCCTGGACGCAGCTGACGATGCTGCACCTGGCGACGGCGCTGCTGCTGCTGACGGAGGCAGTGGGGATCCCCACGAGGGTGTCCCTGGCAGTGCAGGGTCAGGGGGGGAGTCCGTCCCCGTCCCTGACGAGCTGGTCGACAGTCTCATGGAGGACGCCCCAGAAGGCGAGAGCTACGAGCAGCGCCGCAAGCGCTTCAGCGACATCATCGGGGCCCAGCTCAAGCGGCCTCGAGTTTGATAGCCTGTGGCTCTACTCTGCCAATGCGAACGCCGAGAAGGGCTATCGGGACTTCCTCGACTGGCTGGACGGCCTGCACAGTCTCGAGGATGCAGGGCCGACGAGGCGGCCAGTTGCAGACATCACCTTCGTTCAGGAGACGCGCGTGCGTGAAGGTGGCAGAGAGGCAGTCCAGCTTTGGCATCGGAAGCGTGGCTTCGACGTCGACCTGGCCGCAGGGCTCAGCACGGGAGATGGGCCTCAGTCCGTCCCAGGTGGGGTCGGCATTGGTGTGCGGCAGCGGTTCGCGGCAGCCGCGCTCGACACCAAGTTCAGGCAGCCCCACCGCGTGCTCCGACGGGTGGTCAACATTGGCGACGGGCTCGCCATCGATCTCGTGTCTGTCTACCTCCGCGACGGGGAGGGCATGAGTGAGGCCAACGCAGACATCCTATGGGAAGTCGCGCCGCAGCTCAGGGTGGCGGTGCGGCCGTGGATTCTAGCTGGCGGCTTCAACATGGACCCCCTCCAGGTCGCGGCGCGGGCGGCGACGGCTGGAGGACTCGTGCTTCATGCAGGGGCGCCTACCTGCAGGGCGGGGGCGCTCAACGAGCCCGACTGCGCGGTCATCTCCGGCGTGCTCCAGCAGTTCGTGTTCAGCCACGGGCCTGTGGTCGAGGCCCCCATCGGGCCGCGCAGCCCTGTTCTGTTGGAAGTACGAGGGCTGCACGCAGACGCCGCGGTGCAGCAGCTGCACCGCGCAGCGCGGCTGCCGTTCGATCGGGCCATCGGCTGTTTTCCCTGGGCCCCACTGCCTGCCTGGACTTGGGAGGAGGGCACGGCTCCCCCTAGCCCGCGGGCTGCCATGCAGGAGTGGCTTCGGCACGCAGAGGGCTACCTTCTCCCACTCTACGACATGCACGGGGACGAGGCTCAGAAGTTTGCTGGCAGGGCCGACGGAGTGCGCTTCGCCAACGTGTCGCTTGCCGACGCCAGCCGCCGCCGCTGGGCCCAGCTCAGCTCGCACGAGACCCGCGCCTGGGGTGGGCTGGTCAGCCTGCTGCAGCGCGCGGACCTGCTGGTGGCGCGAGGGAAGGACCTACAGGGCCTGGCCAGCCTGCGCGCTCGCCTGGCAGCGCTGCGGCTTGCCGACTACGACGGCAGCATGGCCCCTGTGCCCAGGTGTGAGCTGGGCGCTGCAGCTACCTCCAGCGACGCGGCATTGAGGAGGAGGCTCATCGAGCACGCCAGGGCCCAGCAGCAGGCCAGCCAGCGCAGTGGCGCCGCCGCCGCCAGGAGGCAGTTGCAGGCCTGGGCCAAAGGCTCGGCCACAGGCGGGGGGAAGCTGGCCCATCGCTTCTCCAAGCCTGAGCCGCTGGCCAAGGCGACCCTCGTCGCGGCGGACGTGGACGAGGGCGACGCGCTACCCGTCAACGGCGACGAGGCAGTGCAGCATTGCCTCAAGGAGTGGCTCCCTCTCTGGCTGGACCCTCGGCGCCGAGGAGGCCTCGAGGAAGCCGCCAGCTGGGAGGCGCCCGAGCCGCTGCCGAGCCTCGAGGTGGACAGCCTCAGGTACCTGCTCAAGCGGTACGGGAGGTGGGCAGGCCTGGGGTGGGACCAGCTCCACCCGAGGCAACTGCTCCTCCTGGACGAGTCTTTCCTGGCCAGGCTCCTCGACGCGCTGGCCAGCTGGGAGGATGCGCCCGAGGCCTACTTGGACTGGCTCTCTGTCATCGTCTTCCGCGTCAAGGCTGACGGCGGCAGGAGGCCAATTGCTCTCACCTGCCTTCAGCTTCGCCTCTGGTCGGCCATGCGAGGGCCCATCGTCAGGGAATGGGAGGCGCAGCATCACGAGGTCTGGTACATTGGCGGGGAGCTCAACACGTGCGAGAGGGCTGGCTGGGTGCACCAGACCCTCACAGCCCTGGCCTATGAGAAAGGCCTCAGCACGGGCACGGTCCTGGGCGACCTACGGAAGTTCTACGAGAACATCAGCCACAAGGAGCTCTTGGTTGAGGCCCAGGCCACGGGCTTCCCCGTCAAGCTACTCAGGGCATGCTGCGTCTCGTACTCAGGCTACAGGGTCATCACGGTCGATGGGGCCTGCAGCTCGCCCTTTCGAGCTACTGGCACGGTGCTCGCAGGCTGCTCCTGCGCGACGGGGATAGCCAAGCTTCTCCTCTTCATATCTTTCAAGAAGGTTGCGGCCTTCTACCCCAGCGTGCGGCTGGGCAGCGTCGTCGACGACTTCGCGCTCCAGACTGTGGGCACCACGGGCATGGTGAAGGCAGTGCTGGGACCCGCCACGCGCATGCTGCTGAGCTGCTTTGACGAGAAGCGGGTGCCCGTCCACTTCGGGAAGCTATGCTACCTCACACCTGACGCGGAGGTGGCGAAGCAGCTGGAGTCGGAGTGGCCCGCCGAGGACGGCAGGGCGCAGCGTGGCAGGCTGCTAGGCAACGACGTGCACGACGGGCGCTGGAGGCGCACCGCCATCGGGGCGCGGCGCGTCGAGGATGCACTGGCAAGGTCCCGGAGGCTGCAGATCCTGAGGGCGGCTGGGGCCAAGGTCGCCACGGTGCAGAGGGGCGGCCCCGCGGCAGCCGCTACCTGGGGCTCGGCCACGACTGGCCTCGCCCCTTCGGTTCTGCACGGGCTACGGGTTGCTGCAGCGCGTGGCGAGGGGCCTAGCGCCAGGCGCATCTGTCGGCCTGCGGCTGAGGTGCTACCCCAAAGGCATCGAGAGGGACCCAGCGGTGGTGAACGCTGGCCAGGTCGTGCTGCAGTTCGGCATGGCGCTCTGGCTGGGCTACCCCACTCCGTTCGCCCTCAATGCGCTGCTGGAGAAGGCCAAGCAGCGGTTCGCGACGGCGAAGCGGCCATGGGCAACCTGCAGAGACCCAGTGGCAGCCTTTTTCCTCACCATCAGCAGGCTTGGCTGGTCCATCGAGGGCGGCAGGCACGTCGCCACTGACCAGGGGTTGGAGGTCGACCTTGCCAGGGTCTCGCCATACTTCAGCAAGGAGCTGGCAGAGGGAGCGGCCAAGAGGTTGTCCGACCGCGACGCCACCTTCAGGCTCTACCCCCACCAGAGCTCGGATCTGTACTGGGGCTCGCTGCAGCGGCTGAGCAGGACAAAGGAGTCGCTCGGCTGGCAGCAACACCAGCGAGCGGCCCTCCACTCGGTCATCTCAGGCACGGTGCTCTCCCAGACGCGGCTCTACAAGAGGAGCATGGCCTCCGAGTGGGACTGCCTCATGTGCAGGGGCGCTCCTGGCACGCTCTGGCACAGGCTGTACGGCTGCGACGGTCACGCGGCCTTTCGCAAGGATGAGGCCTCGCCCGAGCTCCTTCGGCGCGCAGAGGTGGCTCGGGCTGCAAGAGGCAACTGCGGCGAGATGTTCGGCAGGTGCCTCTTCCCGTCGCTCGACCACGTGATCCTGAGGCGAGACCCTAACGGATATCCAGTACGCTGGTATCGGCGCCCAGCCTCGGGGTACCTCACTGGCCTCATTTTCACGGACGGTAGCGCGGTCGGCACGCGGTGGCCTGATCTGCAGCGCGCTGGCTGGTCGCTCGCGCAGTGCGACAGGCATGGGCGCCTGGTTGCTGCAGCATGGGGATGGGTGCCCCTCGCCATGGCGCCGCGGCAGGAGGCGCGGGATGGCGAGGACTACGCGTACCACATGG